GACTTCCTTTCAGTTGACAGCTGGGTTTTGGTTGGGGAACAGACTTAAAATGAACCTGTTCAAAAGCAGCACAATCCAACTTGCTTAATAGTAGAAACCCTTCTACATGTCTTAGGTGACAGGGAAAAATGCTTCTACTTAGCAACCTTTCTCCAGAAGAGCCAGAACTTCCCTATCACCTTGATTACCTCCTCTCTCTAAAAACACCAGGACTTCCAGTCAGCTTATTGAGAGTGCATCTCACAACTATCAGCACATTTGCATCTTCCTATAGAGAGCTACTATTTTCACTCATCCCACAAAAGCATTGCTAGAACCTTTCCTCTGGTGTCTCAACCTACACCACCCTGGAATCCGAACTAGCAGCACTTATGCAGCCACCCCTTGAGCCCTTGGCTTCATGCTCCTTCCTGTATTTATCATTGAAACTAGCTTTTTGACAGCCATTACTTTAGCTTGGAGAGTAGGTGACTTGGTGCTCTCATGGCAGAGCCACCTTATACTGTCTTTCATACAGTGTCCTTCTGATTATATCCGACTTTTGTTCCTAAGGTCCTGGCAGACTTCATCTGAATTACATGGTTCATCTACCTATATTTTACCCAAAGTCTCACCACACTAGAGACAACAGATTACGCTGTCTAGATGTTCTAAGGACCCTGGCTTTTTGATAATCTCCTTGACTGCTCACTTCATTTGCCAAAAGAATGAAGGGTGAGGCCCTATCTTCTCAGAGACTCTCAAGGTGGATCTCTGGGTGCATCTTCCTCTGCTAGTAGTTCACAGCAACTCCTCCTAAGAAGAACATAAGAATGGCCATACTGGGTCAGACACCTGGTGTGAGAACGCACTCAACTAGGGCACAGGCTGCCGCAGTAGCATCACTGCAAGGGGTCCCTCTTTCTGAAATCTGCAGAGCAGTCACTTGGAGCTCAGCAGATGGTGCATCCTTTGGTTCAGCAATCCTGCAGACTGTGGTTCCATGTACCTCCACGCACACTCCTCCTAAATAAGCACTGCCTAGGAACCACCCACAGTGAGTACTCATAGGGACCAGCATTCGAAGAAAGGAAAGTTACTTACCTTATAGTAACTGGAATTTTTCCAGATTTGTGATCCCTGTAGGTATTCGCAACCCACCTTCTTTCCCCTCTGCTTTGGATCCTCATGTGATTTGTCGTAGAGTAGGAAATGAAGGGGCAGTGGGTCCACTTCTCCACTTATGCCCTCAGTTCGCAGCACAAGGAGGTGCAGACCAACAGATGCTGCTGTTGAAGAATTTCCGGTCCCAAGCGCACATGCACCCATTCTAAATACCTACAGGGACTGCACATCTTAAAGAACTCCAGTTACTATAAAGTAAGTAACCTTCCTTTTCCCAATAGCTGGAATAGGAAACAACTGCAGGATAGAGCACTGAACAGGGGCTCAGGAGACCTGGGTTCTAGTCCCAGGACTGCTACTGCCCTGCTGGATGACCTTGGACAAGTCACTTTGTCTTTCTATGCTTCTCTATGTGTAAAATAGGATTAATGGTACCAATTTTCATTGTAAAGCACGTTGAGATCTACAGATGAAAAGTGCTATATTTGAGCTAGGTATTTAATATTATTAACGGAGCCATCTCTCTTAGCAAATATTGTTGCTACAGTGCTCACTGCCAATGAGTCATTTATAACTTTTAAAAGTGTGACACAAACATCCCAGGTTGAGATTTTCAAAGAAGTCATGTAACCAACTCCTAATGAAAATCAATGGAAGCTGGACACTTGACACTCATATGCTTCTTTGAATATCTCAGCCCTAAAATGTATCCTTTTGACTATGTCCTCTGACTGGCCCGCACTGACTTTTGCTTTTTATCTACATTTTGTTATTCCTACAGATATCTGTAGCATTCACTATGTATCCTGCAATATAGGCAATGCACTAGAAAGTGCTGCCCAGTACAGAACAATCTGGCCAATAAGAGAGAGAATTTCCATAGCAATATATCGTTTCCTGTAGTGAGAGATCTCCGCCCAAGAGGTAGTTTTCTATAGATATCACTGTCCACAGAGACTGGTAAATTTCACAATTAGCATGCAAACAAGATGGGCCAAATTCATCCTTAGTGTAACTTCACTGACTTTGACAGAATTGTTCCCAGGATGAATTTAGCCCAATCATGCTTAAACTTCTCTACCTAAAATATCAGCCCATGGTTTTTCTGAATCCAAACTAGCATATATAATTAACATAGTTTGAGTTTAAAAAAGAGGTCATAATTACTCTTTGTTTGGAAAAAATGGACCTGTGCCATTCTTCACAGCTTTGCTACTTTTCACAAATTGCTGCTCCGTGCTTACAAAGACGACAGAGCGAAGGAATATGACTGAGGTAAGCAGCTTCTCCCATGTAATGGTCGAGATGGAGTATCTCTTTCTACTACCCTTTCTTTAATTCAATTTAGATTTGGGGGAAATCTATTCTTTAAGGAGAAATTATATATTCTGCCGCTCTATGGTAACAAGAGTACTGTAATCCCATATTTTATAAATTATCATAGCTTGCAGTTATTATGCAGGAAAAACTCCCATTATGGAATCCCTGTCACTGGTGGTTGGTAAGATAAACATCCATCAGGGATGGTCTAGGTATATTTAAACCTGATTCAGCCCAAGGGAACTGACTTCTTGAGGTGCCTTAGAACCCTCTGCTACTGTGATTAAAATGAGTAGGTGAAATCCACCTCTGAGCACAGGGCCAGCACAAAGCATGTGAACCGTGTATGTCACACTCCAGCCCTCAAAATAGAGTTAGGCCTTGGCAACTGTGGTGAATTTCACCAAACTGGAATCTTTCTTGGGTGGTTCTGATGTCAGTAAATGTAGTTTGCTTCTTTAGAAAACCTCATATGTAAATCTAACAGGAAATATGAGAACAAATCCAGTATCATCACGTACAAAAAAAATAACATAAGTACAAAACAAATGGAAGTGTTTGTTGTTTTCTCTAGGTTTTCCTCAAACAAATGAGAGTAAAGGCTGAGATTTTCAAACCTGGCAAAGGGACCTCGACACCCAATTAAATGAGAAATTTAATAAAAGTTAATGAGAATTAGGCACCCAAACAACTTTGAAATTCTAATTTGTTTTTAAAAATTACAGTTGATAAGAGTCCATTGGTGAAATCCTAGCCTCGCTGACGTTATTCGGAGTTTTGTCATTGACTTCAATAGGGCCAGGATTTCACCCAGCGAATAAGCTGTAAAGCAAAATTAAGAGGAAAAGAAAAATGTAGCGAATATAATTCAATTGCTCATTCCAAAAATTAAATTCTCAGTGTGTCATAATAGGTGTATTTTAGCTGTAGTATCTAAAAGTGCCCTGCTGATAAGAAATAAGTCATTTATGTAATAGCTCAAATACATGTTTTTCACCTTACCTGTGTGAATAAAAGTCAGATAAAAGCTACTGCAACAGTAACAGAACAGATCTAAGCAGCAAATGTCAAACATTGTAATCTTATGTTAGTTCAGGGAACTTAATATACATGCCTTTAAAACCTTTTCTATAACTTGCATAATTTAAATATTTACAAAATATAAACTTTATCTTATCAAAAATACATCTTTGTATATTTCAGCAACCAAAACCCTTTCACACAATGCTTTTAAAGCAGTATTTAACACATAATTACATACAAATAAACAATGAGCACCAGATGCATTTCATATACTACATGGCACTCTCTGCACAGTTGCTGAGCAAATACTGTATGTTCAACAGTTGAGCTTTGAATCCACATTTCTTTCAGCAGTGTGCAGGAACAAGCTATGCACGGGTCATGCCTAATCCCTGAATGGTTCCCATCCTTTCACAGATGTAAATAACAATGGGCCAAAAATGGGGAAAAAATAATACCAGTAGAGTAAGTGGCTCACACCATTAAAATAATCTATCAAATACATTATGCATTTGATCTTGTTTTATAAGCAACAGTGGCTGGGGAGTGATCTATTGAAATATTCTAGCTACTATATCTGCAAAGATATTCATGGTGGATAGGTCCATCAATGGCTATTAGTCAAGCGGGTCTGGGATGCAACTCTGTGCTCTGGGTGTCCCTAAACTATGACTGCCAGAAGCTGGGACTGGATGACGGGATGGAACATTCGATAAATTGCCCTGTCCCATTCATTCCCTTTGAAACACTGTCAGAAGACAGGATACTGGGCTAGATGGATCATTGATCTGATCCAGTATGGTCGTACTTATGTTCTTAAAAGCAGGAGGGAAAAAAAGTTCTGTTTTTGACATTTATTTCCCTTTATGATAAATTTCTCCTGGTTTGATCCTGCATGTGACGTGGCTGAGGATTAAGAGAACCACAGCTAAGCCACCACCAAAACAGCTGAAGATGGTGACTTGTTAATTTTGACCCACCAGTACAGTAAGCTGAGGGCACTGGGGCTAAAGATAGGGGGCTGGCAAGAACACTGTGCCCCACACATATATGAGGCCTGGAGGAGCTGGCTGCAGCAGTCTGTTTCCTTCAGCTACCATTCTGTCCTACACTGCTGCCCTCCTTTCAGTTGTTCTAAGCACATTTGAGTACTAGGCTTGTGAAAATATTAAAAATGGCAGCTACTGTGCACACTATTTGCATTCACTAGAATGAACTCCAGCACCGATGGCCTGGCCATGCCCCATCTCCACCCGAAATATACCCATTAGCCCCACTCTCCCAGGTACTCAGCTCACATTACTGAGCACCACCACATTTACACTACATGGCTGCCCCGCTGCACAGTGGCTAATAAGCACTGCATGTTCAACAGGAGAGCTTTGCATCCTCATTCCTTTCAGCAGCATGCAGGAAAAAGGCATACATGGGTAATTCTAGTTCCTGAATGGTCCCCATTATTAAACAGATGGGAGTGAGGACTCCATGACACCTCTCACATGTCCAGTATCCTTTCAGCCTGTGGCCATTAAAAGCCAATACCTCTTCTTGACTTGTTTCCATTATATTTATTGACAACATTAAGGCAATTCTTGATCATCATGTTATGGCTGTTGCTGATGCAAAGTTTAATACCCCTAACTAGCTGTGGAGTCACTTATTCACCTGGACTTCTCAGAAGGCATGGCCTTTTTTGCTGTTACTTTATCATTTTGTGCAGGCTACTATTTGTCTTGAGTTGCTCTTTCAGTAAGAAACCAAACTGTTTGGAATACAATACATTCAGTGAGCTCTGTTACTGAGACTGATCCTCTTGTTATTCCACCACAGGAGGAATGAGTCCTGTTCAGCAGGAAGGAGTTGCTTCATTTTCGGAGGCAGAGTATCTCATTTGCAGGTATGAACATCAGTCATGCTCTCACATCTTCTGCAGCGCACATAACAGCACCAGACAAACTTGCATTCGCACCTCTCCACGTGTCTGACCACGTGAGTGTTGTAACCACGGCCACAGCAGAGGAGGTTGCAACCATCTGGTCCCTCTGAAGTGCGGTTGCATTCCCTTCCCTGTGTTCCAGGAATCCCAAGTTTGCGATCCTCTACACAGTAGTTGGGTGACTTGTTTATGTAGAGAAGATCTTCCTTGCGGATTGGTATTTTCCGCTGGGTTTTTTCTTTCCTGCGTAGCTTTTTCTTCAGTCTGTCTGATACCTGTATACTGTTCTCATATTTATCCTTTAAATACTCGCCAATCTTTTCAAATGAAGACATAGTTTTCCAACAAGTTTTCACGGCACAGGACCCAGAAACTCCGTGACAACGGCAATCCACTGACAACAGCTTTGCTACAGCCTGAAAACAAATTGAGACCAACATTCAGAATTTAATTCTACCATATTCCCTCATTCATTAAACATACTGCTCATTCGCTAGTAATCCATAGGTCTCTGAGCATTTTACTGATGGGGAAACAAGGGCACAGAAGGGACACATTTTTAGTGGTTACTGTCTCTGGGTACCTAGCTTGAGACATGCACAGGCCTGACTTTTTAGAGGTGCTGAGCACCTGCAGCTCATCTTGGCAAGACAAAATAAGTTGTACGTTTCCATTATTACTACTTCAAAATTGACATTTATGCCTTTTTTTTTTCATTCTGAAGGATTCAAAGTTTCCCCTAAACTACATATACTTAATCATTCCACCCATCGCTGAAATGCAGCCACCTCTTGAGTGGAACATAGCAATGATGTTTAACAGTGCATAGTTTGGGAATGAGAGTGGATTTAGCCGAGGACATTTAGATCCAGGGTCTTAGGTTAAGTCCCAGGTGGTTGTCACACAGGCAGGATCAGGCTCTACTGTTGTAGGTAGGTAGGGTAGGTATTAAGTTAGGTTTGCCATTAACATCTTTTGTTTTCAATGCATTTTTTCACTGCACACAAACACTAGCTAACATATTTTGATAGTGTAACTTATCCACATTGTTTATAATGTTGCAGTATTTTGGAAATATCAGTAGAGTTAATACTTTCCTTTTTGAAGTGCTTCTGTTGGGTGGAATAAGTTTGAAATCCTTTTCAGATACAAGACGACTTAATAAAAAGTGTCTGCAGGGCAAAGGGTGTCTGCAGCCTTAATTAGGCTTCTGCAGCGCACACAAGAATCTAGGCAGAGCTTATATTGGAGCCAGCCTCGAAAAACTGTAGACTGTAAACAAAGCACTAACTTCCTACAGCTGGGACTGCAGCTCAAATCTTTAGCAGACAGTGAGTGGAATGGTTTCCCCTTCAATCTCTCATGGATGGTCATATGTAGAAGTAAACAATGAGGTGTGTCTACTGCTACACGTGACACAGCTCTGGAAAAGTTTAAAAAACTATCATATACATCAGGGGTGGGCAAACTTTTTGGCCCGAGGGCCACACCTAAGAGGGAAAATTGCATGCAGGGCCATGAATGTAGGGCTGGGACAGGGGGTTGGGGTGTGGGAGGGAGTGCGGGGTGTGGGAGGGGGTGCGGTGTGCAGGAAGGGGCTCAGGGCAAGGGGTTGGGGCAGAGGAGGGGTGCAGGGTGTATGGGGGACTCAGGGAAGGGGCTTGGGTGCAGGAGGGGGTGCACAGTGCAGGAGGCGGCTCAGGGCATGGGGTTGGGGTAAAGGAGGGGTGTGAGGTGCAGCAGGGGGCTCAGAGCAGAGGGTTGAGGTGTAGGAGGGGTTCAGGGTGCGGGCTCCGGCCCGGAGCTGCTTACCCGCAGGCCGGATCGAAAGCCCTGAGGAGCCGGATCCAGCCCATGGGCCGTAGTTTACCCACCCTGATATACACAGACTTAGCAAAACGATGAAGCCCACATTTTTTTTAAACCTCTCCATTAGTAACACTCTATATGGATTCACTGGTAATTGGTGTGGAAAAGTCCATATTATAGTTATCTGTAGTGTATCTAACTTGTTCCTGTCCTGCACTCCCATGACAAATGTATACATTTTAATCACTAAACAATTTACTGATGAAATTTTTTAAAGCACCAGTAGCTGGAGAGTACTAAGAAAGGCTGATTTTTAAGACTTAGTAATGGAGCTACAAGCTTCTCTTTAAACTCTTTATTAGCAAAGTAGATACATTTTTAAGCTACTAATGCATTTACCCTGATTCATAACAACTGAGTGTAAAAGGGACCTTGGGGTAAGCCTACAGCAGACTAATAAGGCAATAGAGTCTGGTGTGTTTTCCAGTTTTGTATCTTTACCAACAACATGAAGATCTTAGGAGAACTCTGTACAGGAACACACACTGCCACATAAACTACGGAGCAAATTCTTCAGCATCCACAGGAAAAAAAACTTGTCCTCTGTTTACTCAAATCCCTCCCAAAGACCCACTTCCTCCATGATGCCCACAAATACTCACCCATGTCCATCACATGCCTTCCCCATCCTAGCATTTATAAAAGGAGAGGAACGATGGGGGGGGAAGGAAAAATACCAATTTAACACCTTCCTCTGGGTTTCACAGCGACTCTTACTTTATCCTGCAGACTGATCAGAGCCACTGGAGCCCTGCCCCCATGCAGAGCCCCAGTGACATCAGGGGCACTGCTCTATCCTCAAAGGGCAGATTTAAGAGTCAGGGTCTTAGGCTGCAAACTCCAAGGACTGTCTTTATTTGTGTCTTGACTGGCATCCCCAACCCCCCCAAGTTTAACAAATGAGTAGTTGTTATAATTTGGTGCAGAGGAAGTGATTTGTCCCTGCCTTAAGTTTTAACATTACGGTAAATTTGGAACAAAAAATGAACACATTTTTATCAGGGTGGCTGAAGCTTTGGACCCCGCCCTGACTAGGTCCCGTTGACTTCAGTGGGAGTTCAGGGCTCTCAGCACATTGCCAGATTGAGCCCAGAGTGATACTGAGGGCTGCACTGGCAACGTGCCTGGATCTTCAAGGTCACACCTAATTATGTATAACTCCACAAACATTATTAAAAATACACATGACCATATTTGCTTGGACTTGTACCTTCCTTGGTGCATGAATAGAAATTGCTTGTTGCTTGAGGTCGCTGGTAAGTCAAACAAGTGAGGCATTCACAGAGCCATTAAAGAGGAATAGCAGGCGTGAGCCCTGACCTGTTAGAACCATTAGTCAATGCAGACTGAACCTAGTGAACTGGGAAGGAGATGCAGGCAACATTTCAAGACCCTGTGGGCCATATCTGGAGCTGGAGGCTGCTATGTCCAGGCAGTAGGAACACCCAAACTGCTCCTCTTCAAGAATGGGGTGTAGGGCCTATGCCCTGACCACTCTTGGGCATTCCCAATTTACAATAGTCTTCCAGTAACACTCTGATTCACCACTGCAATTACGGCAGATACTTGTGTTCTCTTCCTCACTACTTATTTGTACAGTCATAATCCTGTGTTTGTATCTTCAGAATCAGTTGATAAGGAAATGATTGGGTAGTCACAGCTTTGGCATTAAGTCTTCACTATGATTAAGGCAGAGGAGACGCTGGGCTCTGAGAGAAAAGGGCCTTTGTTACAATGTAAATAACCTGAGAAGCTAACAAAAATGACAAAGAAAAACAGAAACCATATAGAGAATGTAAACAGTAAACCTGTTTTACAAAGAGATTCTATTTCAAAGTATTATCCTAGTTACCATTATTATTTATATGTATCATGGTAGAATGTAGCATCCCCAAGTAGACTGAAACCACATTGTGCTAGGTGCTGTACAAACATACGCCCTGATCTTGCAAATAATTTCACAAACTTCACTTTCCACACATGAATAGCCCCATTGAAGTTAGTGGCACTACTCTTGTGTGTAAAATTAAGCATGTGTGTGTTTGGAGGATTGGGGCTATATAGATGAAAAAAGGCAAAGGAATGATGTGAGCCTCATTCTCACCCCTAGTCCGGTATCTAAGTGTTTCTGATTACCTCTCCCCAGGGTGCTTCATGATGTGGGATGCACCTTCCTTATTAAAGTGTGGTTCTGCTCTAAAAGGTGACTGCAAGGATAGCATTGTGAGGCTGTGTGTTCATATTCTGACTGCAACAACAGATTGTCATGAAACAAGCTTCTATGCATGGGGCCAAACTTTGGTGCCTAATGGTAAAGATCTAAACGAAAGCAGGCCAGATTGTGTCAGGATGCTGGAAATGATGGTCTGGTGTTTCTGCCTAATCTGAGGGCATTTCAAGGTACAATATGTTCTGAACCACTACAGCTAGAAACTCATGCCATATGGGCACTGTCACATGCACTGCAGTGTTTTTATGGGTTATGTATGTACACCTCTACCCCAATACAATGCTGTCCTCGGGAGCCAAAAAATCTTACCGTGTTATAGGTGAAACAGCATTATATTGAACTTTCTTTGATCCACCGGAGTGCGCAGTCCCGCCCCCCCCCCCTCCGGAGCGCTGCTTTACCACGTTATATCCGAATTCGTGTTATATCGGGTCGCGTTATATTGGGGTAGAGGTGTATGTGTATATACAGAGAAGTGAGGTGAATTTACTGTTTGTGAAAGGTGCTACACTAGTGGCTGAATCCTTTTTAGACCATACACTCTGGCTTATAAGCAGCAGCCCCATTTGGAGCAATGACAGGACAGAGTAAGTACTTCAGTCTACACCCACTCAATCCGCTCTGCTGATGCTGTCACCAAGAGTGCCAACAGGGACTGTGGTTTTGATGACAGTTACCTGGACCTTGATAAAGCCATCACCTCATTTCACACTAAGCAGGTGACATTTCATTCCAAACAGCTCCATTAGCCATCCTCTGAGCCATCCTGTCCCCACGTCATTATCTAATATGTTTGGAGCCAAGAAGTGCAATACACTTGTGAGTTCCTCTGACGATCTGTCAATACAATATTCTGATGGGTCAATTAGTATATTCCTTTATGGGACATGGAACCTTGTGAGTTCAGACTCTCAGTTTTAGCCTGATCATTCCCTGAGGTAGGAGAGGTTTGCACCCACCCCCAAGAGAAAGGTGTGAGGTTCCTTCCTCTGAGACCCAACAGAGACCAGGGAAATCCATATGGAAGCTGCATGCTGCCACATCTCCCCTCCCCAGCACCACAGCTCCTGTGGGGGCAGTGTTCTCATAATGGTCCTGACTGCTGCTGCCTCCAACTTCCACTTAACAAGAGGGGAACAGTGTATGTTCATTATGAAAGAGTCAAAATTAACATACACTTGGAATTTTCATGGGATTAGGGAGCAGACTCCTGAGCCTAACCCCTCCTGTCACCAGCTCACTTGTACCCACTTATTTTCAAGAAGCATCCAGGGAGAAGTTTCTACAGTGCTTTGAAGAACAGAGATTGCATACGATGGACCCCACCCCACCCAGATTTATTTCTTTTTTCTTCTTTCCACTTGTGGAACCAGAAGGGAGCATTTGGCCCCCAGTCTGTCTAGATATTTGAAGTATCATAGTATCTGAGCACCTCACAATCACAAGTCTATTCACCGATCATAACACCTGTGAGGTAAGATAGAATTATTTCCCCCCATTTACAGAAGGGCAGCTGAGACACAGGGAAGCTTAGGCCCTCAGCCTCAAAAGTATTTAGGTGCCAAACTCTCACTGGCATTTGGGAGGTAGGTACCTTAATACCTTTGAGAATCTGGGCCTAAATGACTTGCCACAGGAACTCTGTGACAGAGCAGGGACTTGAACCTCAATCTTCCAAGTCTCAGCCTAGTAAACACTAGACCACTCTTCCTTTCCCATCTTCCAATCCTTCCTACTTTCAAGTTACATGTCCTATAGCAAACTAGGATATCAAAGCTTAACCATAGGGTTCTGAGTAGAAATGGGACAGAAACTGGAGTATTCTACACATACCAAAACCAGTACCAGTTATTCCAAATTAACAGTGTCACATCATTCCCTGGAAGACTGTTCTTGCAATGACATGGCATCTGAAACACGATGGTATTTATTATGAAAGGTCATAGGATAGCACACTATCTTGCAAAACCTCCTTCTTGTAGGCCCCAGAACACGAATTTCAATTCTTTCCAACGTCTATTTAAGGATTTGGAAATTAGGACAATCAAGAGAATTTATGCTGATATTTTACTCACTAATACCAGGGTTAGAGTAAAATCTTAACTGCAAATAATGAGGGCTGCTTTCTCTTTCACTTTGCATAAAGGCCGCAATCTTTGCTTTACCCTACAGCTCACAGCTAAGTTGCAAAATATTTACTGTATGGAAATCACACAAAATAGTCCGCATACTTTCTCCAAGGGTATTTAACAACAATTCCAGCTCTGCTGCAAAAATAGTGTGGCTAAAGATTATTAACTGCTACAAGCTTGCTATGGATGAAATTTTTTTTAATACAAAAACCAGTGCTGCGCTGTAGAAAAATGCAGCATGCACTAAGGTGTGTGCACGAAATGATTTCTACAGTGCTCTTTTCTGTGCTATACTGCAGAGCTCTGTATTACAAAATGCCTGCAATCCTGTAAGGTCCTAAATTCCTAGATTCTCATTGGGGCAGATTCTGCTATCCTTATTCACACAAAGTGGTACCTTACTCTGCAAACAGTCCATTGATTTCAATAAAACTACCCTGGGCTTATCTACACTACAGCCACACAGCTACAGCTATGCTGCTGTAGCATAGATGCTTCCTACATTGATGGAAACAGCCAAGACAAGGGCTACCTCAACCTAACTATGGTGCTCAATGCTAAAATTTTCAATTTAATTTTTAAATGTAGGTAGAGCTTAGAGAGTGATAGGCAAGTGCCTGATCATTGCAGACTGTGGACCCTAATTCTGATCCTGCTGAAGTCAATGGGAGTTTTGCAACTGATTTCAAAGCTCATGCTGACTTCCCTGAGAGTTGTGGGTACTCAGTTTCTTTCAGGAAACTCTGTCTAAAAATGCTTTTCCGTGGGTCTATATAATAGCATGTAATGCACTGTGGGCAACAAAGTCAAGAGTAATTTTTTTAAAAAATAGACTATAGCAGCTAAAAAACCTGATGTCCACTCTGTCAACTCACAGAAAGATTAAAAAAAAATGCAGCCCACTGTATATAACAGAAAGGAAATGAAGCCACAAGCATTATTCTGAGAAGGGTGCAGTTAAATTTAACTAAAGGAGGGGCATACAAGATAAAAGTCTACTGCACTCCAACTCTGACAAAATTATTTTGTGGTTTTTAGTTTTTAACTATAAAGTGAGTTAGACAGATGATAGCCTGGATTTTTAGCCTCAGTTTTGAAATTCTTTGCTCTGGAGATTTTAGTTTGGCTCTTGCCATGGGACCAATCCTTGTTTGCAGTCAGGATCAGGCCTCTTTGCATTAATGCCACTTTGGGCAGTTAAATCTAACAAGCATTTGGTTCGATTTCTAACTTCTAATGCATACCTGCCTTCCAGCCTCGTTATTGTGCAGGTTCATTGAGATCAGTCCGTTCCCGTCTTTTCCAGTTATGTTCTTAATAGGCCCATCTAAGAACTTTCTGCTAAACCACATTCCATAATGGATGTCATCAGAGCAGCCACCCCAGTGCCAGCCTTCAGTGGCTGAGCCACCATTTTGCAGATTTGTATCACAGGAGCACTCAGTCATATTTCCTGCACTGCATGATCGAGTCACTGAATGTACAAGGCCTGCCGCCGTCACTGCATATATAAAGGCTGTTTCCTTGGTGCCTAAAAAGAATGCATGGAAATGTTATTTTAGAGATTAACCACACTGGCCACTATTCGTTTTCACAAATGAATACTGATTTGAATAAGGAGAAAATAGTTCAGATCATGGGGTGACCCAAATCTCACCCATGCACACCCAGGATCATAGTGCTGCCTTTGTACAGGGCCAGATCCCACTGTATACCACCTTTAAGAACCTCAAGGCTGTTCTAATTTACAAAGGGTGCAACAATCACAAGAAGCTGAAACCACAGCCAGGAATCAGAGAGGCATAACGGTGTTTTGGCCATACTCCCTTTTCTCTGGTAGGCTGGCATCAGGGCCGGCTCTATGTTTTTTGCCACTCCAAGCAAAAAAAAATTTTGGCTCCCCCCCCCCCCCACAGCCCACCAGTGCCCCACCCACCCGCACCCCCTGCCGCCCCAGCACTGGGCTCTCTCTTCCCCCCCTGCACCCCCTGCCACCCCAGCACTGGGCTCCCCTCCAAACATGGGATCCGCTACCAGCACACGGCGGCCAAGCCCTGGCCCAGCCGTGACTCTGTCCCCATGGTGGAGCTGCTGGGCGGCGCGGAGTGGGAGTACTTCCAGGTGGCGGTGTGGCTGCAGGGCAGCGCGGAGAACACGGCCCCCTCCCTAGGCTTCGCGGCGCTGCTGGTGGCCAAGGTGGATCAGTTTGTGCTCACCGCCCTCACCCCTGACATGCTGGCAGCTGAGGACCTGGAGAGCTCCCCGGACCTGCTGCTCTTCAGCCTCACCGCGCCCTGGCCCAGCCCCGGCGGACGGGAAGGCGAGGATCTCCGGCTGCGGGGCTACCTGCTCAGCATCGACGAGCCCAGCCGGCCGCTCACCTCTTCACACACTCCGGGAGCCCCTCTTGCCACCGCCGCAGCCCAGGCTTGGCTCCAGGGGACCCCGCTTCCCTCCCTCCCCGGCTCCTCACACACTCTGGGCAGGGCTGCCCAGAGAATTCAGGGGGCCTGGGGCAAAGCAATTTTGGGGGCCCCTTCCATAAAAAAAAGTTGCAATACTATAGTAACATGTATTTTGAAATGTAAAAAATAACTAGTGAAATAGATTCACAAATTAATTTGTAATAATTTGAAAATACACTAAATACATTATTTAAAAACATTAAATGCTTTAATGATATGTATACATTTGCAATTACATAATGGGCTGTTGCTGGGTGATGGTGATGGTTGGTGCCAATGGGCTGTCGCTGCCTGGGGGTGGTGCTGCTGTTGTCCAGGGCTGGGTGGGGAGCTGGGCTCTGGGTTGGGGGGTACCTGGCTCACAGGGGCTGGGCTCAGGGCTGTGGGGAGATGGGGGTCGGGGGGGTG